GCCATTTTCAACTTTGAACTCATCTGAAAACAATTCATGAAAATTTCCCTCTTGAAGAAATGTCTTTTTCTGCGCAATTGCAATCAAAGTTCTGAAAGTTTTGGGGCTATGTATGACAGTTAGAACAGTTACTCCTTGAATGAAATGACAAAGAGGTCCAGTTCTGGTTAACATGATAATAGGTCGGTAATTATTCAGCACAATGTGAAGTAATCATACTCAGTCATGCCTCACCGCACGAACAGATAACCAAACCATGGAATTACATGTTTTGCTCTAAACTGACCAAACACAGCGATGTTTAAACTATCTCTGCTTTGGAATGTTTTTTAAAGTCTCCCTAGTATAAATATCAATAGTCATTTAACTGCGATTTTTTGTCTCTTTTCCATAAAAAGAAAAGTTACATTGCAATAGCTAAATACAGCTACCTGAGGTAGGTAAATAAAGCAACGTAGGTAATTCTACCTACGTAGCTAAATGTATTGATTGTACTGGACCTGTATATAACAGCATAAATTATAAATATATTGAATTAATACAATTTAAAATCTGTTTGGACCGAGGTGTCTTTTATGTGAGCCGAGGTGTCTGCAAATTTGGGCCGAGCCGTCGGAGCCGAGGTGTCAATGGGCCGAGGTATCATTGGGCCGAGGTGTCGTTGGGCCGAGCAGTCTGACATTCAAATCAAGCTACATAATCTAGTGATTGTACCTATAGAAGAAGAAGAGATTTTCTACATATACACATTCTAAAAAAAATTATGATACACAAATGTCACAAAATTTTAAGAGCAGAATTTTCTGATGTTTAAAGGGCTCTATACATATGGATTCCAAACAAGTCATAACAAGTTGTAAAATGCTTTTGCATTGAACATTGTGTAGTAAAACACCAGCAAAACTATATGAAGAATAATACCAACAAAACTATTTTTTGTGCACAAAATAGTACTCACTTCAAATTAAGTAAGTAAGAACAAGTTTAAAATCCTTCAACTGAAATAGTCACTGCTATTCAAATTAAACAACCCGCTTCTATGGACGCCATGAAAAGATTTTCAAGGGAAGTAACTGTTTACAAAAGACTATTCTAATCACCATCTAAGTCGTACATGATTTTCATGACCATCTTATGGGTTTTTTTTTTATCAATTGCTGATATTTTTGTCAGCACAAAATACTAAGGACTTATAAATAGGTGAGCTTAATTTTAAATGAATGAATTATTATTTTTAAGTAAATTAAGGAAATATTTTTTTAAAAATACGTCTGGTCCAAAGTTTTGGGAGATACTAAAGACCTGACCTACTAAAGACCTGACTGACCTGACCAACGTAAAATTCGTCAAAAATCACCATTTTAAGACCAATTATCAAATTTTTAAGAATATTTTCTTGATAATAATATGAAATTATGTTTAATAAATATTTATATACACATTTTTACCAAATTAATTGTTATTTATCTGTTCATTTCATGGAAATGTAATGACCTGACCAAATATGAATTGACCTGACCAAAACCAAAATCATCAATAATAGTTATATTTTTTTAAATATTTGATATGTTTTAAAAGATTTTCTTCATTATAATGGTTGATACTCTAGATAAAATGGTTTTAGAAACATTTTTTACCTCAATTATTAGTTTATATCATGGAATTTTAATGACCTGACCTAATATGAAATGACCTGACCGAATATGAAATGACCTAACCAAATAAAAATCACTTCAAATCTGTATCTTTCTTTAAATAATTCATACTTTATGTTATATCATAATCAATTGTATGATATATGATATTATATTCAGCATAATACTTAATTAATAAAACACTTCAGACATGAAAACACACATTTATGAACTTTAAGATTTATATACATATGTGAATTTTCACAAACTATAATTTAAAGAATTTAATGCTCATCCAATTTTAAAATTATACTAAATCTTTTTTTTTAAGCATTTGAAAAAATATTGGTGACATTACAACAATATATTGCAATGACCAGACTGCATGGCCATGTCCAATGCTAAAGACCTGACCGACTCTACCTACTAAAGACCTGACCAACCAGGTGTCTATATGAATGACCTGACCGACCATTTCTACTAAAGACCTGACCAGCCATGTCTATATACATGTACTAAAGACCTGACACTACAACTTAATTCAAATTATATCTTTTTTTTTTTTAATTTTGCATTTATGAGTGCAATAATCAAAATTATTGAATAAAAGATTCAGTATATGTATAATAATATAAATAAAGCAGCTATTTAATATTTAGATACAAGTATTTTACATACTAGACTTATATTACTATAGTAAATGTTATTTTTATATTTTTTCACATATTCCAATGTTTTGAAAATTTGGTAATCTGTGTCATCTAAAGATATATACAACTGTAGTTGTAACCCTTATGCAGACAAACGAATTATAAACATTGATTATTTAATTTAAACATGTTACATGTAATAGGCTGTGATATCTGTGTATTTATGTTTTTTTTTTAATTTATGAAAGAAACAAAAATATTATAATGTTTTTTTTTTTTTTCAAAATTCAGATTAAAAATGATGAAATTAAAACGTATACTGTTAAATTTTACAATTTCTATGGTAAAAGTATTTAATTTAATCCTTCTTTCCTTAACAATTCTTGGGTATTTTATTTTATTCTAATTTAATTTAAATATAATATTCATGGAGAAATCTTTTTTAAAAAATTGATAAAATGAAATGGATTAACTACTGTTTCCCAGTTTACATTGTTGATTCCAATGTTACTGTGATAGAAGTGTCAAAAGGGGCACTGACCCATGTTGTTTGTTTAACCATTACCTTTCAATATCCCTTGTGTATACTGCTTGTATAATACTAGTAAACATTAAACTTCATTATACAGATTAAAATGGGGTTATTAAAATTCAATTATCTTTTGGAATATATTGTTTTTTCGTAAGAGCATATAGACTTGCTCAATGTAGATAATGTGATTTGTGAGGAAAGAATAAGCAAAGTTATTAATTAAATCAAACAAATAAAGCAGAATAAAACAAGATAAATAAAAATTGACTTAGTTTATAAAGAAATTGTAGATTTAAACAAGTGTTCATTGTTGAAAATGTTAAATGTAATGTTAAACAATTATCATGATTATAGATCAAGCTTTTAAAAAGCTTATTAAAATAAAAATTTCATGATCAGAGATCTATATAATAGTAGGTTAAAGTATATTTATTTAAAGTAATGATCTTAAAAAGATCATATTTTTGTTCAACTAAAAAAAAAAACATATGTTCAAATCAGAAAATCATCATTTGACATATATTGACACCCCCCCCCCCCCCAAAAAAAAATGATAAAAATTAGAGCACAACTGGTTAAGCTAATGAATTCTTTCTTTAGGCTAGTTTGTTACATCAGTCAGATCAAGATCTTTGTTAAATATTCAATATTTAAAGATTCGTGTTAAACTGGTCATGTTTTATAGACTAGAATTTAAAATATATGTTATAAAATTATACATTTTTATTATCATAACCTTTTAAATATTTTATTATAAATGTACTGATTCAAATGTGAAATATGATCAGTCAGGACAATATACAGTAAATCTACATGTTAATTCAGGACAATTGATTTTAACACTTCTATAAAAAAGAATATTATTTCATTTCAGTTGATAACATTTTATGTTTTTTAGTTTAGAGAAAAATATAAAGTTATTTTCAAAATAGTTGGGGCTTTAGCTGTTTAGAAGAAATAATTGGTTGAGTCTGAAGTATAGACATGGTTGGTCAGGTCTTTAGTATAGAAATGATCGGTGAGGTCTTTGGTAGAATCATATGGTTGGTCAGGTCTTTAGTATCGATATAGACAGTCAGGTCTCTATTTACAATTGTTGTAAGATCACTTACATTTTATTAAATGCTATAACATATTAGATTAAACATGATTTTCATATTTTATGTGCATAAAAATACTTTTAATTAATATGATTTATCAATGAAATATTTCTGTTTTTAAAAGCATTTTTATCTCAAATATGAAACATTTCAATGAAAAATATCTTCTATACTGTATCTAATATTTAAAAAAAAAGAAGCTATCATTAATGATTTCTATTTGGTCAGGTCATTTCATATTTGGTCAAGTCATTTCTTTAGTTATATTTGGTCAGGTCATTAAATTAAAATTTCATCATCATCATGATATACTGATAACTTTGGTAAAACTGTTTCTAAAAGCATTTAAATTTTACCAAAAGTATTAAACATCATAATGAAGAATATTTTCTAAAATGTATCTAATATTTAAAAAAAGCTATTATCAATGATTATTATTCGGTCAGGCAATTTCATTTTTGGTCAGGTCATTTCATATTAGGTCAGGTCATTAAAATTCCATGATATAAACTAACAATTGAGGTAAAAATGTTTCTAAAACCATTTTATCCAAAGTATTAATCATTATAATGAAGAAAATTCTTTAAAACTTATCAAATATTTAAAAAATATAACTATTATTGATGATTTTGGTTTTGGTCAGGTCAATTCATATTTGGTCAGGTCATTACATTTCCATGAAATGAACAGATAAATAACAATAAATTTGGTAAAAATGTGTATATAGATTAATATTCATTTAACTTAATTTCATATAATTATCAAGAAAATATCCTAAAAAATATGACAATTGGTCTTAAAATAGTGATTTTTGACGAATTTTACGTTGGTCAGGTCAGTCAGGTCTTTAGTAGGTCAGGTCTTTAGTATTTCCCATTTATTAGATAGTTAATTTTATTTAACAAATAATAATTTTATTAATGTATATAAAAATGAGACAAGATTTACCAAATTTTAGCCTTTCTCTCTCTCTCTCTCTCTCTCTCTCTCTCTCTCTCTTTTAATTTCAATTTGATGTATTTTCGTAAATTAGTTGCACCTTTCACATCAATCTGCGCTTTGTTGTGCGCGTACGCTTTGTCAAGTTTGTGCCGACAGATAGGTGTAAAAGACCAAGTATATTGTACATCTATTGTTTATTGTTATTCACCTGTTGGTAAGTTTTACCATATCATAGTATTTCATGTAGCTGAAATCTTAGAAAGGCAGGATTTACTTGTTTAACGCCCAAACTCACTCGTCTGCAAAATTCGCATTGTTCGGGAAAAGAGCATGAATTCCGGTTTGCTTGATTTGAGATATGCTTACTTTTCATTTTAGATATTGGTAGTAAAAAAGAATCATGCTTAGAAATATTGTGAATTATGTCATGCCTTCATCTTTATAATGTCCTTTATTCATATTAGTTTTTGCCTACGATTTGTTTGGGATTAAACCTTCAAGTTTGCATTTCCACTCAAGAGGAGTACGTAGAATTATTGAAAGGGAAGAGATACTAGGTTTGAATTAAGCATATATAATGAATACTAATCTCCCAGATCTTCAAATAATGTGAGTCGTAGACTCATAGGACAAACCTTTTTATACAGTAGAACAAAACCTACATCACTGTAGTATATAGATAGAATGTTCTATCGTTAAAATGATAAATGTCCTACGGACCTGGTTAAACGATAGAATTCGTTCCGTGTATTTGTAATGTAGTAAAAGAAACACGGGCGATAACTTGTACTCAGTGCATTTATTACGAACAATACAGAGAGTTCCAAATGAAAACATGGCATGTAAATTTGAAGCGAGGAAAAATGTTGAGAAAATTACTTGAATTTTCGTCTTTATTTGGATTATATTTTAGGTTTAAAGGCATAAGCAACCTCAAAAATGTTTGTTATAATTAATTTTGTAGTTAATTCATGTGCAAATCCCTTTGTATTCTTCAAATTCGTTTCGGAGTAATTCTGCAATTTTTTTCTACATTGCGAGTATATGAGTGGTTTTCTAACTGTGGTGAGGGCTTGTCCCCAGACACAGTTAGATTATTCTAACTATGTAGTATATGAATACATACATGTACCATAAGTTTTAAATTTTTGGTACCATAAATTTTTAAATAGATCTTGCTATGTACCAGGATACCGGAACCAACCTTGAATTTGCTCTTCTTTTTTGAGGAAAAGTAATAAACATTTGATTATTTCTTGATAGTTTATCGTTTCTACAAATACTACTTTTAGCTCATATTCAGTTCCAGTATATCATTTTTTTTTAAACTTTCTAACATCACAATATACATTTAAAGACTGTGTGAAGTGAGACATGGCCTCTGGGGCCTCTGGGGATGATGGGGGGATGATGCGGGCCACTCCCCCAGGTCCAGTGTATCCTCCCCAACAACAACAGGAAAATGTACAAAAGATCCATAAGGTAACAACTTACACTATTAACTAATCAGTAATGAGTTGTACATGTTACTCTTTCCCTTTACAATATGATTTATATAATTTTGATAATCTTTTTTTAAAAATAAATTTTAAGGCCATGACTCAAATGGAGGAAAAGGGGATGCAAGATGACCCTAGGTATGCACAGCTAGCAGCTATGGCAGACATGGCAAGGAATCAAGGCATGCCTGGTCAGCATCACGGTATGGGCCATCAGAGAATGGGAGACTACCAGGGTAACATGATGCAGGGGGGTCCACCTCACAGTATGAGTGGTGGATCCCAGGGCATGGGAGGAGGTTCACAAAATATGGGTGGAGGCCAGCAGAACATGATGCAAGGAATGGGTGGTCCCCAGCACAGAATGGGAAGTATGCAGCCAATGCCCCACCAGGGTCAGAATATGAACCAAGGAATACCTCCACAGGGTCAAGGAATCCCAACACAGGGGCAAGGCATGGGTCAGGGAATGCCACCACAAGGCCAAAACATTGGCCAGGGAATGCCACCTCAAGGACAAAATATGGGACAGGGAATGCCACCTCAAGGTCAAAATATGGGTCAGGGGATGCCACCTCAGGTCCAAGGCATGGGTCAAGGAATGCCCAGTAATAATCCTGGAATGAATAATCCAGGAATGCCTGGTTCCAATGCTGGAGGAAATTATAGTCCTATGGGAGGACAAGGAATGCATGGAAGTTCAAACATGGCGGGCCAGGGAAATATGACAGGACCCCAGTCAATGAATACAGGAATGGGATCCAACTCTCCACATCCCATGCCACAAGGTGGATCAATGCAACACAAAATGGGTGGCAACATGCAGCAGATGGGAAGTTCTAATAGACCAGACCAACAGGGTAAGTTGTAATTTTTATAAAGTGTTTAGATGCTCTTTTAATAAAATGTTTAAAATATTCAACAGTATACTGTAAAACTCGGTTATGTAGAAATCGCAGTTTTAATGACAATTTTATGAATCCCAAAGAGGACGATGCACTATGTTTCTTATGCTGAGATAAAGAATCTTGAATATAAGAAAGCAAACAACACCCAAATGACTTCCTCAAAATCAGGCTTTACTGTAGTGTACTTTGAAATATTGTAGGTATTAGAATGTTTTTTTCCTACAGGTCAGCAAGGTATGCCAAATCAGATGGGTGGACCGGGAGGAGCACAAGGTTCGGGAAGGCCTAATGCCTTTAATCCCCCACAGTTAGCACAGCTAAGGGCCCAGATAATGGCATACAAACTACTCTCCAGAAACCAACCTATTCCAGAGAATATCAGAATGGCAGTGGAAGGCAAAAGATACCCCCAAATGCAGCGACCACAAGGTCTGTAAATATTACAATTTTGCTCTGAGGGTTTCTATTTTAGTCATTCTGTTTGTGTTACAGTGATAGAAGGCACTGAACATATCAAGTCAATTCCATTTAAAATTATTGTGTTTTATAATGACTCTATTATTATAATAATTTCACAGATCCAAGTGGTAGAATGGGACAACAGCCAGGGCAGGCCCCCAACTCCCAGGCCCCACACAGCCAATCTTACAGTGCTGGATACTCTGGAGGGCAGATGACACAAGGACCACCAAATACCAGTGCCAGTCAGGTCCCCCAGAGACCCCCAGGCCAACAGCCAGGTTCTCACCCTCCTACAGGGCCCCAAGGAGCTGCCCAGCCCCCATCTACCCAGTCCATAATGCAGCAGAAACACAGCAAGATTGCTCCTGTTGCCAAGCCACAGGGACTCAATCCCATTGACTTACTGAATGAAAGAGAGAACAGGTACTAAAAATGGAAATATTGATATTTATTATGGCATAAGTACCATATATACTCGCCTATAAGTCGGTATTTTGGGAGTTAAATATTGGTCTAAAATTTTATGTCCGACTTATAGGCAAGTCATAAAGAGATATTTTTCTGGAGGCTAAAATTTAGTATTTTATTTGCATTTCCGACGATTATCGAAGAAAATGTCTGGATATAATATATGATAATTTATGTATTCATAGATTATACATAGAAAGTACACGATTTTACATATTCTAAACATTTTATTTGTATTTTTAGTGAGCATTGCCTCTTTAATATTAATTTCAGCTTAAATATTAGTGTTATTTCGAAAAATATTAATTGAAACCAGGTTAAAAATCAATCGATTTACTTGAAATTGGCATCCAATTTTTAGCAAAAAATGTACCGACTTATAAGCGGGTCAATAGCAAATCCCACCAAAATAACGTCAAAAAATACATCCGACTTATAGGCGTACCGACTTATAGGCGAGTATATACGGTAGGTAATACAAAACAGAAATGATATGGCTATGGAGTTCAAATATGAAAATTTTTATTTTCTCAGGATTGCAGCACGAATTTCATGCAGAATCAAGGAGTTACAAGATCTTCCTGCAACAATGCCAGAAGATATGAAAACCAAAGCCATGATTGAACTGAGGGCCTTAAGACTTCTGAATTTCCAAAGACAGGTACTAAATAATCATTATTCAAAGAATTTATATAATAATGTAGTATTTAAATGAGCATTGCAAACTTTCGTAGACTAACAAAAATTCATTTTATTTATATATAGCTGAGAAGTGAAGTTGTTTCCTGTATGCGAAAAGACACAACACTGGAGACTGCTTTGAATACAAAAGCTTACAAGAGGAACAAAAGACATTCTTTACGTGAAGCAAGAGTCACAGAAAAATTGGAGAAACAACAGAAAATTGAACAGGAGAGAAAGAGAAGGGCTAAACACCAGGTAAGATGTTGTAGAGAGAGTAAGATTTGTACTTTGCTACAAAATAGTAATAAATATTAGTAATGACATATAGAAATATGATATTGCAGGTAGAAATAAAATCTTAAATATAATCAAAAAACTTTTTCACTTGTAGTAAGATAAAACGTCTGTAAAATTTGATGCTACAATAACTTGTGTTTTTTATAGGAATATCTAAATGCTGTTCTTCAACATGCTAAAGACTTCAAAGAGTTCCATCGCAATGTCACCAACAAGATAGGAAAACTGAATAAGGCTATGATGGTACATCATGCAAACACTGAGCGTGAACAAAAGAAAGAGCAGGAACGCCTGGAGAAAGAACGTATGAGAAGACTCATGGTAAGGAACATTTCTAGTGACAGCTGTATTTGAATAAATGTACGAAAATTTTACAGTCTTGAAAACAAGAAGGAGCATTAGGAACATCTTTTTACTTGAATCAGTCAGTTACAATAGTTAAGTTGTACATAGTATATTATTGCTGTTTTTTTCCACAGGCTGAGGATGAAGAAGGTTACAGGAAGTTGATTGACCAGAAGAAGGACAAACGTCTTGCCTATCTGCTGGCTCAGACAGATGAGTACATCTCTAACCTGATGACTCTGGTGGCTGAACACAAGGAGGATCTAAAGAAGAAGAAACAGAAGCGACGTAAGAAGAAGAAGGAAGACAAACTAGAGGTATTTTAACTGTTCTAAATGTAGTTTCTGGATATACGCTGTAGAATATGCATGAACATAAAAAAAAATTCCATAACATTTATAAAGTATGCAGAGTAGTATCTTTTTTAGCAAAATAGAGATTAGAAGTGCTCAGTGTAAACTTTTTGACACAATGTCTGATATTTGTAGGATGGTGACTCTAACATGAGTGAGATAAGAGTATCTGTGATTGAGACATCCACAGGGAGAGTTCTGACTGGTGATGAGGCTCCACTGGCAAGTCAACTAGAGGCCTGGCTGGAATTAAATCCAGGGTACATATACAATTTACAACAAGTAATTTTACGCCCCACCATAAACATGCTTTGTGGTGCAAAGTAAGGCAATATTCCTTTGATTTGTCTCTTAAAAAAAGCATTCATTTTAATAGAAACAAATTTCTTGCATTGTATTTTTGAATCATATGTTTTGTTTAACAGATATGAGGTGGCACCTCGGGAGGATGGAGAGGAATCTGGGTCAGAGGAAGAGGAGGAGGAGGTGAGGGATTATAGAAATCTACAGATAAATTAGTGGTGTATATCTGAAACATCTTGATACAAACAATGTCAGATTTGTAATGCATGTTTAAATCTTCTATTTATTTTAGGTTGAACAGGAGGAAGTGATACCAGCCAAGCCAGAAAAAACTTTACCCAAGGTACAGGATTATGTGTGCAGAATTCAGAAAAAATGTTTTAATACCAAACTTCATTTAATGAGTGATTTTGAAAAAAAATATTTGACTTTTCTTTACAGCTTACTAGCCCTGATGACATTGATGAAGGCTTGGCTCAGGAAGTCATAAAGTAAGAACTAAAATCTTAAATATAATTGTCAGTTCATTCTAAGCAGGTTTACTCACAGAAAATATTACTTGTAGTTAAGATATGATTTAATCAAAATGGAAGTTTTTCCTGCAAAGAGCAAAGTATAACATAGAATGGATATTTTCTAGTCAAGCCTCCAAAGAAGTGGATGATGAATATCACCGCAATGCCACCAAGACAGAGGAGAAAAGTTACTATGGAGTGGCTCACACGGTCCATGAACATGTCACTGAACAGGCTACCATCATGGTGAATGGAAAGCTCAAGGAATACCAGGTAGGTCTTTTAGATCATAAGATTTGGCATCCTTCTGTTAGCAGCAATTAAAAAAAATATTAAAGATTGCTTCATGAATGGATTTATGATGTTTATTTTGTATACTTGTACT